TATGGCGTCATTTGAAAGATGGTAGTACACGATGGTAATGTCAACTTGCATCAGCAACGTCACCTGTTTTCAAACATGAGTACTTATTGATTTGCCCTCGTATATATATTTATAATATATATTATAATAGTATTAGAATAGCATTAAACCCTATTAAAACTAATGTGTTTACCAGAAATATGATCCATGAATTTTGTTATAGTAAAGTGCACTGTAAGGTGCAATGAATAATTTCATCGTTATTCGAACCTTCTTTTGGAACACAGTGCGCCATAACACACAAACAGGATGATGTTAAGAACTCAATGATAACTTCATGAATACGTATCGCGGTACATCGAAATATGCCGGCACCGCCATTCTTCCACTATGAGTTTTTATCTAAACAGCTATTTCCCGCACTGTGATATTGCTTATGCGTGTGTTAACCGGCAACAATAGCTGACTAGTTATCTATCTCGAAATGTGCGTAATTTTATACTAGCTCGTCAACTGAGAGAGTAGAATAGATTTTGCATCCTTATTCAACGAAAAGTTATATATTAATACTTCTTCATAAGTATAAATACGTTCAGAATTCACATGTTAATATTAAGAGAGCTGTAGTAATATTAATTATATATAGAAAAGAAATTCTAAAAGTTTTATGTGTAACACAGATATTTATTTTAAAAAAGTACATATATATGTATATTATTAATTATTACAAAAGAAGAATTTTCTCGGTTTATATTTAAACTATGATATTGCTACTTAAATGGTTGAAAATCTGTAAACAAGAAGAAAATTTTACAGATGTTTAGCAATTGGCTTCAAAGAGAATGATTGCCGTGTGAAATAAATTTTAGTATAATGTCAAAGGTTAATAGTAGATAAAAAAAGAAGTAAAAACTGTTCAGGTAACGGAACATCCGGACAGCGCAATGGCGGTCCTGGAGAATATCTCGTGCAACAGATGCTGGATCATTGACGATGTCTGGCACGGCATCTTGATAGATAAATAGATATATTTATAACCGCTAGAATTTCACTATGTAGATCTGTTTAAATGTAAGATTCATAAAATATGTTTATTTATAAATTGTATCATGTTCGTATTCATTTATTATTAATTGTAAGTTAATCATATGGTCACGAAAATCAAATTACACATTATTATACAAGTTTCAGTTAAATTAGATAATATTTATTATTTAAAATCATAAAAATATAAAACTCAATGACGAATATTTATAATATTAAATTAATGCAACAATATCTTGTAATGTTTGCAATCAAATCAATTTTTAATGTAAATATATGAGGAATATTATTTTCTTAAATAATAATTTACTATGTTCTACTATCATATCATATACATTTTAACTGTATTTCGAATTCTATGTTCTATGCAACAAGTTAAGAATCGAAATATAGAAGAATCGTGCTCAGGCGAAGGCACTGTTTCTAATTTCGTTTCAGATAACAAAAGGGGATTAGATAACAAACTATGACGGTTGTAGCTCGTGACTGTCGTTTACATCAGATGCGGCTGTAATGTCATGCTATGCAGTAAAATATTTCATATTATTCTCGATCGTAATAACCATTAACTGATAATACGATAGGTTCGTGAAGTAATTCGCGATTTATTGACACTCTTCCGAAAAATGTAACGAACTATGTATTTCCTTGACTAGAATATATGATGAAACTGCGATTATTGCAACGATAAATTTTTAACATCATTTTTTCACAAGCATATATTATACTTGCAGTTCAGCGTTAAAATTTTGATATGCTTTGAACATTATTTAACTCGATATAATTATTTTTTTAGAAAAGTTTGAACTTTTATTTTTTTCTGGATGCATGATGCGACAAAACTTGACAAATACATCATAATTTTAATAATGCAAAGATTATGTCAATTTATGTATTAATTTATGTAGTATCTTATTTATATCTCAATAATATTATTTTAAGAGTGAACTTAAACTTCATTCTTAAAAAAAAATATATAAATTTGCCCATGCGCTGTATGAAAAAATACTTATAGTATCCTACAAATGGTTCGCTAATTTTTTTTCTAAGTTGTATATTTTACTAATCAGGGGATAAATAAAAAAACACTAGTCTTAAAGCCAATAATTTGTATCTGTATATCAATTAAATATTAGTCTATCTTTTTCACGTTTCTCTCCCCCTCAGAATAATTAACAGTAATGAATTAAATTAATTGATATCGGTCGGCAACTAACATCAAACAGCTCTTACAGTTACAAGAGCTGTTCGATACTGCCGATACGCTGTTAATCATCATCGTCTTTTTATCAGTGAAATTTCATCACGTGATTCATAACATTCGTCATGTATAATAACAATTTTCAATTGCATAATAAGAATTGCGACACTGATTATGAGCGATATTCCAGTTCCTTTGAGCCTAGAAATCTAGAAGTTGATAGTATTTTTTTATTGGAATATCGGTTGTATATGAATATCCACGTCAAAGACACTCGTTAACGTTACAAAAATTATCAGCATTGTATAATAATATGATAATAATATATCGATTAAAATAGAAATACATATCTATACACTATTAAATCTAAGTGTCAAATTTAACCTAACGTGAGTCGCCACTGCTCCTACTAAGAATATCGTTATTCTTTACCAAAACGATAGTTAAATTTGACACTATATCGTGTCAAATATAGTTATTGTTTTAATATAAAATAACGATATTATTGAGTAGGAGCAGTTAAGAGGTGACTCACGTTAAGTTAGATTTGACACTACAGATTTAACAGTGTACATTTAATTAAATTATGTGATTGACTTATATAAATTAGCTTTTTATTAAAAACATTAAAAAAGTTAAATTTGAAATAGCTGAGAACGATACGATTATGATATCTAAAAAGAAAAAATAAAGAAGATTCAAATACATGTAATTTCTCCTTTTTGATCGATATCAATTTCACAATTAGTATATCATACATTCAGTAGCGATCTGAGTATTGTGCTGGACACGAAAATTTATAAACGCGCAAACGAAGATTATGCGTTTCTATATATTAGCTATCGTCATCGTTATCGTCACTAATTAATGTTAATATACGGAAATAGTTGATAAGAGGCCGCATATCTATATAATAAATATACTATGATCGCGATAATACGTGCATCCTGATAAGCACAACGCTCCGCGCAATGGTCATTCTCATCGGGTTATTCTCTCAAATACAGCGATCTCAATAAAGTCCATTCGTTGAAATTACTATTTTTGTTTTGAATTGTTCTAATTATTTCCACTCAGATGTGTAATCAAACTTATGCTTGCAATAGCCGACTCGATGACATTTAAAACTTCGACCTACGCGAGAACGCAGGCTCTATTAAATCATGGAGTTAATTTTATAGAATGATCGCGCACACACACACGCACACACACACACACACATACACACAAATTGATTAATATAATTTGAAAATGTAATATATATACACTGAAAAAAATATAGTCAATTTTAATAAATATTTAGTTCAATACTGCCAACTAAACATTTACTTATAGTAAATAAATATTTATTGTATATATGTACATATACATACGTGTAATACATATATAAATGTGTATTGCTATTTTCAAATAACGTATAACAATAACGTGATAATATTTTGCTTGAACACATAAACATTTTGATACTTTAATTTCATACTGACATACTTTAATTTTAGCATTAGCAAAACAAAAATTCCTAACAAAATATTAAAATTTGCGTAACATGTGTAAAAAATTTTGCATTTGCATAATGGATAGAATTATCGTACTCACATGTTATCAATTAATGAGTGACCTCCTCATCCTGTCGAAATTTTATACGGTCAAGAAGTCTTCGTAGCAGAAACATACGATTCTCTCTATATAGTCTTCTCTTCAACACTGTGTGTGTAATTAATAATTACGCATGGCAACGTTCTATTTATCACTCTTTTCTTTTTCCTTGTGTCAGTTAAAGAATTAGTCGTCTTCCGTAGAGAAAGGTATTTGTCGACATTAATTATTAAAATTAAAATCCTTCAAAAAATTATGATCACTTTATCTCATATTGCTCGAAAATTTATTCGCGATCTCCATCGGAACAAGCACTTGCGAAATACCAGACTATCAATTGTTTTGATCAATAACGATTTTTTCACTAATTACTAAGCACTAACTGCTTGCAACTTGTCTCTGGATCGATGACGAAAAGACGCCAGACTTCAAGAAACGTCGCTGTTGCGACGACTCGCACCGAGTCACATATATTGTTTTCTACCTACCGAATTTCGAGATCATTATAAGCTGCAGAAAAATTTGTTCTTGAATTCTTTTCCATATAACGGAGTTTTTGCCCCGCACAACGCATAAAAACTCCGTCAAATCTTTAAAAATTCGAGAGTTTATATGAATTTAATTTCTTTTCTATCAAATATGATAGTTCGAAAATAATCAGAATATTTATCTTCACAAGTCACTTTTCAAAAGTTCAAATCGAAGAATTTTTTAATATATGGAATTGCTTTTATTTCTATCTTCAAAGTAGTAATTTAGAGTTCTGTTGAAACATCAGTTACGCAATTACACTGTATTTTTTACTGATAATTATTTTGCAACAATTAGTATACTACCTTAGTATACTGTGTTTTAGATATTTATATCTTTTTTGTAATCCCCACACTATCTTTATATCGTTCATTCAAGCGTCCTGTCAATTCTAAATCAATTCTAAAGAATATCCGTTACCGTCTATCAACATACTCATCACAAAATTAGCTTCGAAACTACACTTTCCTCACAATATCAAGGCATATTGTCACTTTTATTCATCCCTAATTCCCCGAAAATATATATATAATCGCAATTTTCAGAATAAAGTTCAATAACTCCAAGATCCATCTGATTCAATTCGATTTCAAATTAGATCGGTCTGTCATCCAGCTGATTCCTTTGATCTTCATGAACCGCGGACGACCCGCGATATCTATCGCATTCGCACTCGCGTTGTCGTTTGTATATATAAAGTAATACAGGACTGCCTCCAAGACGTGGTGCAGCCGGTGACTGCGTCTCTGAAACTGTCCTGGACAGTCACCTCTCCCGTTGGTGACGCAGGATGAGGAGAAGCCGCGGTGCGGGACGTAACAGCTACGCCGTCGAGTGGAATCTCTCGGTTTCTACCAGGAAGGGATGGGAGCGTGGAAAGTGAGGGGGGAAAGTGAACACAAGAAGACAAGCATAGCCGGGGAGGGACTGTTGGATCGTTAGTGGCCGGACTAGGCGGTTCTTCTGATCCGATCGCTGTGACTTTCAGAGGCGGAGCGAATAACGCCCACATGAGGAAACCGGGACCCGGGTGTTTCAGGAGGCGGCAACTACACATCCACATGCACCGGGATCGATTTTCATAAAATTTTTTTCACCCGCCCTTTCTTTCTTCCTTTTCGCCTCTGTCTGCATTTTCTTCTCGGTCTTTGGCATTCTTTGTTTCTCTCTTTCTTTCTCTTTCTCTTTCGTCGACGATCGGCGTTAGCGTCTCCTTTCCACCTTGTCGCGCCTATAATGTCCGACCAGATCAGACATGGATAAGAAGGCACGCCGGATCGTTCCTCACGGATATCTTTGGATATCCGCACCGCCTTGAGTCTGACTTATGGACTACCTCGGTACACCGTCTGAGATTTCTTGGCTCATTCGCTCCGTGAGCTTTTTCCACGCGAATTATTTCATACTGTGTCCGATCAGTCATGATCCGATATATAATTCTTATTATACAGGGTGTTTCCAAATTAAATGGCAAAACTTCGGGAGCGTGTAGAGGAGTAAAAAACTAAGAAAAAAAGTCCTATAGACATATGCTCCTTTTTGCTTTGTTTCGCAGGAAATCACGAAAAAAGAAAAAAAATATATTTAATTTATTATTTTAATTATTTTATTTATAAACTTTTTAATGAAGATTTTGTTCGAAATGTGCACCTCTTGCAGCAATACAAGCAT